GCAAAAATAACACATGAATTGAACTGAATGCCAGATAACATGTGCCAAAGTCTTGACTGTCCAAGTCAGAAGTGTCAGCTGGGTTGACAAAAGCTTGGCAAAATCCCATCTGTGTTGCTAGGGCCCACAGACCCTTCAAACCCGTTGTACAGACTGGGTCACAAACCCCTCTCCTGCAGGTCCATGAGCTAGGTAATAGGAAAAAGTTCCTGGGAGCCGTGAGTAAAAATTAATAGGCTTTTTTCAGACGCAAGCTCAGGTAGCTAGCAGTAGCCTCCCTAGGGGTCTCCTGGGGTGTCCCGAGGGCACTGTGTATTGGAGCCGTTCCTCCTTTATACTTAAGTCCAATAACCCAGAAACAGCTGGGTGCTAGACAGACAACCCAGGAATACATGGGTGCGCATGCGCATCCACACTAGCCAAGGAATATCTGGGCACATGTGCAGTTACCATTTACATCAAATGCTCGGCAAGATCCTGAGGCGCCCCCCCACCCCGTCTCTAAGTGATCCTGACCATTTACCTTTCATTTTCCCTACACCATCGAATTTGCTTGGTGACTTACGGATGATCAGCAATAGACAGACCTTCTTGAATGCAGTTCTCAACCTTGATTGTACACCGAAGCTTAAAACAAATGCTGCTGTCTGGGTCTACCCAGGGGGTTCTGACGGGATGGGCCTGGGGTGCTGCATGGTCATGGACTTGTGAAATGCTCCCCAGGTGATTCTAATGTGCAAGCAAGGCTGAGAGCCAGCTGATCCCTTATTTAACCATCTCCATTGTTCCCATCTATAATTTACAAGCTACATCTAAGAGCTCTGTAATAAACACTGTAGGCTGTCCATTCCCTTTCTCTTTCTGATAGAATCCTGACTTTGTTCTTGTATCTCCCCTCCTTCTGAGGGTCCAGAAGCTATCAGAAGAGGCCTCATACCAGGTCCAGGTTGTATCATGAGTGGTTTAAGATTTCTCAAGCTCAGCACTATTGACACTTGGTGCTGTATCATTCTTTGTGGGGAGGGCTGTCCTGTGCATTGTGGGACGTTGAGCAGCATCTCTGGTCTTGACCCACCAGATGCCAGTAGTAGCCCCAACCCTTAAGTTGTGACAACTGAAAAATGAGAACCACAGGCAGACCCAGCCTATCAGGCAGGCCTGTTGGCCAGGGATTGTTTTAGGCAAGGGTATTTAGGCACAGAAAGTGAGGTAGAAATAATTTCAAGGAAACATTTTCTTTTAAAAAGAGACAAAGGAAATGGGAAAGACATTCCTTTTCTGCTGGATGCATAAAGATGAATCAAACCTGGAATCAAAATGGTCTTGTTGAGGTATGGAATTCACTTGCCCCAGAGCTGGCCTCCCTCAGGACATCTTGGCACATGAAGTAACACAACCCTTCATTATTTGAGGGGCTATGCTTTCTGTTATTGGCAGCTAAATGCTTCCAAACAGCTAGATCCTGAATCCAGGCTATTCTTAATTATTGGGTGTAGGGTAAATGCTGGACATAACCCTATTCCCTCCTCCCCATGCATACCAAAGTTCCCCCTCTCCTCTGGGACACCACCCCTGGACAAGGTAGTTACCCAAGGAAAGGCACATCCCCTTTAAGACAAACAGAAGGCTGGAGGGAGCAGGACCCTAAGTACATGAACAAACACTCTGGTGCCAGGAGAGTAGCGAATAGATTATCTGCTCAGCCAGATCTCTCATGCACTCTGAGTTATGTGAGCTGGGTGAGGGTCTGCACGTAAGCCTTAAAATGATTTACACCCCTGCTCTGATATGTTCAGTATAACTGTTGTATGTACCCCGTGGCAGCGTGGATTTTCAGACTGGCCACTGTCAGTGACTCTCGTAAGTCTAATGAACCAATGTCTCTACCCATTGGGCAACCAGGTGACTTCTTTGCAATAACACTACGTGAGTGCCTCTCAGATTTGGGGCTTCTGTGTTACACCGGGAAACAATACTGTTCCTTTTTCAGAGGTGGACAATTTGCTAGACCACTGTGAATAAGTGGTCAAAATCTGTGTCCACACAGTAGGAAACTAGAAATACACAGCCAAAATTACTACCACGAAGCAGGGTAGCATCTATGTGACGTGTACATTGCTTATGTATGTGGTATATAAATACACTTTGGTAAAATGGGGCCTTGCTCGAGGAGAAAGTAACACATTACATTTCATTAGCCATCAGGCATTGCAGGGAAGCAGATGTTTTATACCTATTAGATACAAATCTAACCCTAGGCAGGGACTTTGGAGCTTCCAGGCAGCTCTCTTAGTGAGAGCCGCAGGTGTGACAGCAAAGCAGTAGGATTTGTTTTCTATAATGTAGTCGTGTTGACTTGTAGAAACAAACTGCTTTCCTATTTCCAAAGTGACTTGTGGGGTCGGTAAGTATAAGGTTCAGTCGCCATCTCAATTTTGTTTCTAGGTGGTGAGTCATGTCCCCTTCCCTCATTTTCATTCATTGAAAAGGTATTTTAAAGAGGCTGCAACTAAAATCAGAGACTTAACATTAACGTGAGACTGAGATTCCAGGCGACGGCTACATGAGCACATTTTTCAGATTTCTGTATTCATTGCCTTTTTTTGTTTTTTAAACAAAGTGACCTGATACGATGGATGGTAAGCAAATAGGTCAGGGGGCGGGGGGTTAGTGGTGTGGGGAGAAGGAACTCTTTTTCCCCACTCCAGGGTGGGTCTCTGGGGAATAACTGTTGAGAGAGACAAGATGAATGGGTGTCTTAGCCAGGAAAACAAATGTGAAAACAAGCAGTTAGCATTCCTTGCAGTTGTGTCAAGGCAAACATTTGAGGAACTGCATTTGTTTCTGTAGTTGCTCTCAACTTATTCAGGAGAGAAAAAGACATTAGTCCAGGAGCACACACTTTCTGCTGGCTCTGAATTGTTTAAATTCTGAATAAAACTTCACATCATGCACATTTATTAAGTTTAGGTCATGTTTAATCAAAAATGCAAAATCAGCCTTTTGAAACTAAATTTCAAGGCCCACCAAGGTAGTAGGGTTGATGATTCCCAGACAGCCCAGGCACAAAGATCTGGAAATCTCAGCTCATGTGCAGAGGCTGATGAAACAGTTAGAGTAAGCTGTGTAGGTGGACAGCTACGGGTGGATTCCAGGGTCTTCATTTACCAGTTGTGCGACCTCCGGCAACTGACTCCCAGCCCTGGGTTCCTTCTCTTTAAAATGGGACTGGTCACATAAAAACTTAACTCAGTTTTGTCCTGAGGATTAAGCCAAATAGAACAAAATACGTACACAGTGCAGTGGTTTATAATAAACGCTTTCAGAAGGTGCTAGCTATGAGAAATCATTAGCTGTTGCCAGTTAATTCTCAGGGTTAGATATGATGACACATTGTGCAAATTCCTCCACTTTAGTCTAATTAAAACTACATAAACGTACAGAACACAGAATAAAAGAGAAACATAATTATCTATACAGGAAACCTTTAACTAACAAACAGGATGTTTAAAAAGTTCATTTTTAAATTGTTCGGAGGATGCTATGTTCCCATAGCAACAGTGCTCTAAGTGGGGGTTAGGATTCCAAGGACTCACAAAAGCAAATTAACCTTTAGTTACCTGAAATACTGTTAGTTCTGATAAGATCAAACCATGGTAGTGCTTTACTAGTACTGAAACAAAGTAGTAAAAAAGAATTGATAAAAAAAAAAAAAGATTAAAAAAAACATTTCAAAATCCTGTGGCTAGAAAGAAGCAGGATTAACTGGAGCCAATGCAGAAGCACCCTGGGCTTGGGAGATGAGGGCACTTAGTCAATGAGAGGCCGTCTCTATGGTGTGTGGGCCTCCATACCAACCTGTGCTTGTTAGCCCTCAATAGGATCTTTTTTTTTGGAGGCTGGCCAGTACTGGGATCCAAATCTTTGACTTCGGTATCATAACACCATGCTCTAACTAACTGAGCTAACCTGATAGCCTATAAATGAACAAATAGTTGGAGAATAGCAGAGGTAGAAAGACTTTCCTGCACAAAAAGACTATGCCCAGAATTAGGAAAGGGCCGTGCTGACACATCCGGATGCATGCTGTGGGAAAGGGCCACCAGAAAGTGGGTTTTGTTGAGCAAAGGCTATGAGAAAAGGAAGGTGTATGCTATCCTGGGGAAGCAGGTTGGAGGGGAAAGCAGCTGTTTCTCTGGCCACCCCAGGTTGTGCCAGGAAGGCTGAGACTGGTTAGGAAGTGGTGGCAATGGAGTGTCTGGTCATCTCTGTGCTCACGGTTCTCCTAACTTACCAGGTATCTGCAGTTCTCATCCTTATAGGTATAGTCCCGAGAGCAGGGACATCATCTTATACACATGTGAAGGTGCAACAGGGTTATAAAGCTTATTTTATATAAGGCTAAAGGTTTTGCTTGTACCTTTGAGAAGGTGTTGAGCGAGTACTTAATACACACGTTTACAAACGGAACTCAAAGCTGTTTGTTGGATTAGTTTAAGTGGCATGTTCCTATATCTATTTTACACTCTATTAGTTCAGTTAAATGTTAATTAGGTGTTAAGTGTAGAAAAGGATCCTTGGTCAAGTAACTTGGAAAGTGTCAGGTGAGAAAGTTAAATCTGATTTCTCTGCTCTCAGACTTTCAGAACCTTTAATATGCTAATTTGCACTGTGAGTGTTCATGAATCCAATCTAGTCAGTGGCAAGTTTCCTGAACTCAAGTGACTATAAATACTTTTTATGTGAAACTTCTTCAAGGACAAGTGTCCTGGGGAATGTACTTGGGAATGGTCCCCTTTACCATCTGGGCAAACCCAAGGCTCTAATACTCCCCAGTTTTCCCTTCCAGCAACACAACCCCCACCCACATCTCCCTTTCCTGTTTTGCCTTTGGCTACTTGTACTTAATCCCTCCAGAGGTTTTCGCTAATGATCTAATGTGGTATGTGTATTTTAATCTGAAAATGTAGAAAGCCAAACAAATTTGACACAAAAGAAGCTTTAATAGCAGGATTTCAGGCACCTTTATTCATGGCAGGTATTTTTAGTCAAGGGAGCCTGCCTTTGAAATCTTTGTTACTTAAGGAAGCCAACTCCTAAGTCCCAACTCTCCTTACAACAGCCATGCCATATCTCCATTTGCTGTTTATGAGGCTTGAAAACATCCTTCACTCAGGTTTCAGCTGGTCTGGTCAGAGCCCTGTGTGAGTGGGCCATTCATGGGCTAAACCCTGCAGCACAACTTGCTGGTCTGGTCAAAGGATTTTCTGCAGCTGGTAATAATAGTGCTAAGTTCATTTTATTTCAGAAGAATTTTACTCTTTTGTGTTCCCCACATAGTTTGTAAATAGGACAAATTATTATATAGTTGCAATACAAACAAGACTGGTGATATGGAAAACTTAAAAAAAAAATCATCCTGTTTTCGTTAAGGAGGGTTTCCTTCTATGAAGGGCCATACCATTCCTCAACTTTTTCAAGTTTTTGTTATACAAAATCACTTTGCAGTGACAATCACATGCTTGGCATTCCAGGTCATCAATACTGGCCTCGAGGCTTAGCATTCCTGACACTGCATTTTTGATGGCAAGAATTATCATCCCTGTCTCTAGAATTAATAATAAAATTGTTACTTTGCAAGAATTTAGGTAAGAAATAGTTTAAGTAAAATAGTGTTTCTTAAAAACTTGAGCCTACTAATGAGCCATTTATCATTTCCTAGCCAAGCAACTTAAAACGGTCTTTTCCTTTTTCAATCAGTAGCTCAAAGAAAGGAGGGAGTAATTGAGTTTTAAAATCCTGCCAGATATGTTTACACTGTAGATGAGCAATGTAACGTCCTACTGAAATATTAGATTCTCATGCAAAACTCTAAAAAACGAATGCCTTATTACATCAGGCTATTCAGTTATTTTCTGTATCTTAAAAGTTCTAACACAGTAATGTGGCAGAGATTACTTTTCACTGACTTTAGCATCTGATCTCCTAACTTAATTACAAGTCATGGTTCAATTATGAGTTTTGGCAACAGAGCAGTGTCAGACATTTCTGAATAAACAATTTTTAAATGTTTTCTGCCATTTCAAAAGTATTGCCCACACACTATTTGGTGTCAGCTCACAGTCACTTTGTGCTGAGAAGAAAAGAACCCTAAACTCTACAGATGTCTTACTTCACCAAGTGTATCTGTAATCGAAGAATCTACTATTTGTTTAATAAAAAAAATTACACAGCAACTTTTACCAAACAGTAACCACCACAAAAGGAATGGCAGGAAAAAATGATTTCACAAAAGTACACTAAAAAATTTGACAATTTTATGCAGGATCTGCCAAGGTTTTAGTGTTTAATAATTAATAGCACAACTGACCAAGGTCCAAGATGTTCAAAAAACTGGGGGAAACTCACTCTATAACTATATAGTCGGTGATAAGAATGCACACTTCATAATACAAAACCTGTCTACACATAACAGTTAGCTGCAAAAAGCCATTCGGTCTTCTCTTGGCTTGGAAAAACGGTATTCCAGATTTCAGTGTAAATTATTAGCAACCTGTTGAAGAGGAAAAACCATCAACTTGTTTTTCATTATATGAGGACAAATAAAAATGATACATAGAATTATCAACTAAAAATCCTTTGAGAATCCTCTAATGAATTAAACTTTTTTGCATAATATTCTAGCAAAAATAAAAGATTTAACTGAAATCTTTATCAAAAATTTTTCTGAATTGTTTCCTTCTCCCATTTCTTTCTTTGTATTATCCCTGTCACTCAATTGTCTTAAGTCCCATAATTCTTGAGAGGATGTTATCACTCCACTGATGGGATTTCTGACTGCCAAATAATATAAAGAGATCCAGAGAAGCTTCTAAGATTCAGACATTTTCCAAATTATCTCTAGATAGGAATAAAGATGACAAATCCAAAACAAATATGTGATTTACTCACACAGTGAATCAACCCAATCTGTTGTTAATAGAAAAGCAAATTTAAGCATCTTTAACCTCCCAAACCTCTATTTATTTTCATGGATTTCAAAGCAACCTCAATTTCATAGTTACTTAAAATTTGGTTCAGGGCATGCCCAGAAAATAAGAAAGGAATTAGGTATCTTTTACTGTATAGTCTGCTTGGTACTTTCATTACTAAAAATGCTCAGTAAACTTTATTTTTACAGTGAATTAAAATGCTACAAATGGAATGTGAGGAAAGTGAGCTTAAAAATTATTTGGGGGTTGTAACAAGGTCAGTACCACCACACACATACACACACAGGAAAAAGCTTACAATGAAGAAACCCACAGTGTTGAGTGGTCACTGTGCATCTAATCTTGCTATATGTTTTATTATTTTACAAGGTCAGTACCACCACACACATACACACACAGGAAAAAGCTTACAATGAAGAAACCCACTGTGTTGAGTGATCACTGTGCATCTAATCTTGCTATATGTTTTTATTTTTATTTTTGGCAGCTGGTCCACACAGGTATTGAACCCTGGATCTTGGTGATATCAGCACCACATTCTAACCAACTGAGCTAACTGGCCAGCCCTATGTAAGTTTTTTAATTAGTTGTCTTTCTTCTGATATCCAGTGGAAATTTAAATCAATCTAGAGTAAAGGCTTAATGTGGCCACACATTGTGGCTTTTCAGGTCAACAAAAACACATTTGTTACTGGTTGGAATGATACAAACCCAGTGGTTATCTAATGTTAGACAGTTGTCTTAACTATGATATATACGCCTAATTAATAAAAACTGGGAAAATAAATTTTACATAATTAGGTTGGCATGAAAAATTTCAAACCATGGCGTCCACAGGGTAACAATAAAAGGGATGCTTGCCGGCGTCATGGCTGGGAACTGATCTAGAGAAAGGGTGATTACATCAAAATTATACTTTCAGGTTATCACTCTGTACTGCACCCCCTCACCTTCAACTCTTTGGTGTGGCGGGTATCTTGTTTTCACCTTCCAGTTCTTCCACCCCAGCCTGTGTCATGAGGTCTGCGATGTTTTTCTCCAGATCATCAATGCGACTACTCATATCATCAAGTGGTGAAGTTAAAGGTGACACACACCAACATCTCCCCATGTCTTATCCTTTTCATCCAAGCCCCTGATAACTATGGCCTTAAACACAACTGTCTTAAGGAAGTGGATTTTCCAGTTTCCTTACAGTCTGGTGGTTAAGAGTACAGGAGTCAGGGGCAAGGCAGCCCTAACCCTTACAAGCAGTAGGAACCCTGGTAAGTTCTTAAACTTTTCTAAACTTCAGTTACTTCCTTCGCTAGATAAAGATGATAACAGCATAACCTGTTCATAAGGTGGTAGTGAGGATGAAAGGAGAGACACACATAAAGTGCTCAACAGTCAATCATACCAGCCATTATAGTTGGTTGACTGCGAGTTCCTCCAGCCAGTGATCTGTCTAGCTCAGCTGTACCCCTAACCCTTAGCACAGTCCTTCTGACGAACACAGTACATCCAAGCTCAGTAAAAAGTTTAAGAGACTGGCTGAAGCTGGCCTGCAGACCACCCATATACCCCATCGCTACCCTGCAAATAGGATCCAAAGGCCCATGAGAGGCCAACTACAAATAAAAAGGATATTTCTTCCAATGATCTGGTCAGACATGGTCTGAAATTTATCTTGCATCTGTTGCAGAAGTGTCTGCACCTTAAAAACAAAACAAAACAAATTGCGCACTTGTCTTGAGACACCTTCATGGGATCAGGACCGCAGCACTGGTCCCGGTGTCAGGAACCTAGGATCCTGGGTTCCAGCCCCAAATCGGGCTCTTGGCACCAGTGCAGCCTTCAGCCAGGACTCTGCTCCTCGGAGTTTCAGTTTTGCCATCTGTCAAATTGGACAGCTGGGCGGGTGAGGCGCCCCGCAGTCTGGGCCCGCTGCGGTGCAAAACTCGCGGTCTTTGGGTGGTTTTCGACGCCTGGGTACATACACCTGGGTGTGAGAGGCACTGGAGGACGGGTGGACGGCTCAGGGTGTGGGAGTGGGAAGGTGGCGGGGCCCGGGGGTCACACGGGGAAGGTTGGCATGAAAAATTTCAAACCATGGCGTCCACAGGGTAACAATAAAAGGGATGCTTGCTGGCGTCATGGCTGGGAACTGATCTAGAGAAAGGGTGATTACATAAAAATTATACTTTCAGGTTATCACTCTGTACTGCACCCCCTCACCTTCAACTCTTTGGTGTNCCCCGCCCCCTTAGCTAGCCCCGCCCCGCTCCCGCCTCGCACGCAGCCCGCGGCAGAGAGAAGTGGGACAAAACCGGAAGTGGCCTTGGCCTCTTTTCCAGGTTGTGGTGGAGGATGGGTCGGGTGTTCTGTGGTCTGTCGGGGCGCACGTGCTGGGCGCCTACCCTCAAACAAAACACTCTTGCGGCCGCCACCAGGTCGAGAAAAATGACCAGCCCCAGTGAAAGTCCCTTGGGTCCCCTTCCTCTCACCCCCACTCCCATGTGGGTGTCCAGTGTCCTGACTTGGAACACGGTAGCTTCATTTTGTCTGTGTTTCAATTTCATCTAAGTAGAATCAGACAGGAAGCCGGCCTAGCGTCTGGCTTCTTCCCTACTTGATGCACCTGGTGTTGAGTGGGAAAGGTTCCCAGAAGGCAGAGTCAGGGGGTTGAGACTATGGATTTGAGTGATTAAGGAGGTTGGCACTGCTGAGCTGGCACCTCAAGTTCCAGTCCACAGGTGGTCTTGGGATTGGGTCTCATTGCAAGAGGGTAGGAAAGGCCAGCTCCAGTGTGAGTTTAGCTGGAGGGAGGCTGTAAGGGAGCCCACCAGCATCAGTAACAACCCTGGAACATGAGATTCAGCTTCTTTAACCAGCCACCCTCCTCCTTTACCCACACCTCTGTCCCTCACCCCGTCACCTCCCACTTTTCTGCTCTTTCTTTCTGTGTCGAGAGTGCAAAACTTTTTATAATTGGTTGTTGTTAACTAGGATTTGGTTAGTGCTTTACCCAACTATATAAATATATCTCAGGATTTTAACTTATATCTGTGATATAATTATCACCATTTTACAGTTTTGAGAAACAAGTTCATCAAATTAAGGAAGGTGGAGATGCAGGACTTTCTGACTCTACATCTTCTCTCTCTCTTTTTTAAATCATTCTAGAACTCTCTGAGTTTTCTGCGCTTACAGCGGGGTTTCTTAACAGCAGCACTACTGGCATCCTGGGCTAGACAATTTGTTGTTGTTGGGGGAGGGAGTGTCCTGTACATTGCAGGAGGCTGAGCAGCATCTCCAACCTCTACCCGCTAGATGCCAGTAGCACCCCCCTCCGTTTCACCCCACTAACGACAATCAAAAATATCTTCCAGATATTGCCAAATATCTCCTGGGGGTGGGGCATAGAAAATCACCCCCAGCTGAGAACCACTTAGAGAAATCTATGGACCTTTCCTAGAACTCTGTTCACTTGTTCTTTAAGGATGAATTTACTTTTGCTATGGCCATTTCTTGAGAATATTCCCCTTTACATATTGAGATTGAGGGTTGGTGTATTAGGTTCCTAGGGATGCTGTAACTGGGTGACTTAAAATAACATAAATTTGTTCTCTCACAGTTCTGGAAGCCAGAAGTCTGAAGCCACAGTTTCAGCTGGGTTGGTTCCTTCCAAAGGAGTAGCTGCTGCTTGCTTCTCTCCTCGCTTCTGGTGGTGGCCAGCAGTCCTTCTGGTGGTGGCATTCCTTAGCTTGTGGCTGCATCCCTCCACTCTTTGCTTCTGCCTTCACTATGGCCTTCTCTCCCTGTGTGTCTCTGTTTCCTCTTCTTAAAGATACTAGTTATCTTGTAGTAAGGCACCACCCTAAGCCAGTATGACCTGATTTTAATTACATCTGCAGTGACCTTATTTCCAAATTAAGATCACGTTCTGAGGGTTAAGACTTCCATGTATCTTTTTTTGGAGGGGACACAATTCAACCCACAACAGTTGGTAAAGTAATTCCACCTTAAATTTGTATCATACTTATTTTATAAAGAGTTTTTACAAAACTCTGGAGTCCTTTAGTGAGTAGCCAAGGCGAAGTAGGGCTTCAGGCTTCTGACTTTGGACCCCAATCACTGGGGCTCCCACACTCAGCGTTGAAGCCTGTGTTTCCAGCAAGATCTTGCTTATGGTTGAGAGCAACGCAAGAACGTGAATTAGCACTAGGACCTGGAGTTTTTCTTTTCTTTTTTCTTTTGGCAGGAAACATTAGCATTTTTTTTTTTATCCTGATAGACATTTTCTTTACATACACAGGAGACAAACTTGACAATCATTGAGCGGAGACATTATTTATTTGTTTATTTTTTGCTCTTAAACAGAAAGACAGCATGCTTTCTCTATGTGGAGGCTAAGGTCTGTTAAACAGCTGCTTTATGTGAAAGTGTCACTGATTTATAGTCATGGCTGATATGCTCACTTTATGGGGCTGACACATCGAACCCAACTGAATATTGTTCCATTAACAAAACCACTGTATTATGCGTCAGGCACTGGTAATTAACCTTTAAGCTTCGGTTTTGAACAACCCTCATTTTTAACCTTTATTTAAGTGTCATAGTTGTCTAATCTCCTTTTAGCATTTTTTTTTTAGCTCTTTCTGGATTAATTGCATGTTGTAATTCTCTTTTCCCCTTTCAAGATGGTTTGCTTTTATGTGAGCTCATTATGGTACTTTTGTAATAGCTTTTTGCTTCAAACTGGGCTGTTCTCTTGACACTTCTTTTTAGGATCTATACTAAGGAAAGTGCCCATGTGCATGCAATGTGATGTTTTGTGTGTTGGCCTTGCATAAGCAGAGAAGGAATGATCACAGCAGGGCCTTAGAGAAACTCTAATTTATTCTCTCCTTAGTTGTACCTGCATCAGCTCTGTTAGGCCCCATCCCTGGGCCCAAGCTGTGGTCCACCTTGTTTGCTTTTCTTCCAAATTGTCACGTGTTGCTGCTGAGAATCCCGCACTTGGCGGGTGGGCTGCAGCCAAATGCTGCTGTTGAGAATCCCACACCTGGCGGGTGGTGCTGTAGCCACATGTTGCTGCTGAGAATCCCATACCTGGACGGTGGGATGCAGCAGTTTCAGGATATGGTGCCTCATCCTTCAAGGGGCCTGGGTAGCTCTAGCTCCAGACCTTTCAGTGGTCATTTCAAACCTTTCCATTCTCCCCAAACCCAGTATTTCATCCCAGTCAATTGTCAGAGGATGACTTTGTACTGTATTTTGTGGAGAATCAGTCAAAACCTCTTAATTCCCATCCTCCATACTGTCTTAAGTACCTACATTAACACCTGTGTCACTCTGGTCCTTTCTGTCTCAGGCAGAGGTGCCTTTCCTCATGCATGGGGCTGTGTGCATGTCTGAAGTAGGGACCTGGGCCTGGGCCCATGCTCTCCCATCGGCTCTGGGAATCGCTTCCTCAACTCATCCCTCTTTCCAATGTGCTGTTCCTGTCACCATCTGAAAGTGGCACAAGCAAACAGAAAACCCAAGGCACCCCAATCAAGTGAACCTCCACTGACCTTTTCCCTCCCGAGCCACCTCTTCACATCCACAGTTCTGGAAAGACAAGAACATGTCATCTTCAGTTACCGGCTGCACCTCCATACACTATTCATGCAGTTGTGTTTGTTTTGAAATGTTTCTATTGAAATGTTTCTAGGTGGTGTGTGGACGTGGCACTACACCAGTGTGACTCACAGTAGGCATTTGTTTATTCCATTTTCATTTCTCTGAGTGATTGTGACAAGCAGAAGGTCTCTGTTGGATGTTACTGTGTCTTTGAGGCCTTTCTAATTTCTCATTCATC